GTCTCCCAGGCTGAAGTGCAGGGGTGTGATCTTGGCTCGCTGCAACCTCTACCTCCTGATTTAAGTGATTCTCCTGCCTCAGCCTCCTAAGTATCTGGGACTACAGGTATGTGCCACCATGCCTGGATAATTTTTGTATTTTTTTATAGAGATGGGGTTTCATCATGTTGACCAGGCTGGTCTGCAAATTCTGACCTTAGGTGAGGCCCACCTCAGCCTCCCAAAGTGCTCAGATTACAGGCGTATGCCCCCATGCCTGGCCCAGTCACCAGTCACTCTTAGGCAGTGACGTGTGCCTGTCCTGATAGCTGAGTCTCCAACCATTTAGTCTTCATTTCAGTGTCATTGCTGTCCCTTGTCTCTTGCCCCACAGATTGGGAGGTCATCCTCTGCTCATGTTTGCCTTGTTAAGGGAAGAGCCGTAAGGTAGTTGTCCAGTGAAGGGTCAGTTTTCTTCTGCCTGTTCTCTTGTCAGCCCTTCGTGGCTGTCTAAGAAGAGAGGGCAAAAGAGAGCCAAGTCAGTTATGATGGCTCATCTTATGTGTCAACTTGTGGGCCACTTGGTACCCAGACATTTGGTAAAACATTACTTTAGGTGTGTTGGTGAGGAGGTTTCTGGATGAAGTTAATATTTGAAGTGATTGACTGAGTAAAACATTCCCCGTCTGAATGTGGGTGAGCCTTATATTTTGAAGACCTGGCTAGAACAAAAAGACTGAGCAAGAGGGAGCTTTTCCTGCTTGTCTCCTTGAGCTGGGACATCAGTGTTTTCGTGACTTTGGACTTGAACCAAAACTTTGGCTCTTGAGCCTGCTAGCTCTTGTACTGGAACTTGCACCATTGATTCCCTTGGTTCTCAAGCCTTCAGACTTGGACTGGAACTAGACCATAGGCTCTCCTGGGTCTCTAGCTTGCTGACTGCCACTCTTGGGACTTTTCAGGCTCCATAATTGCATGAGCCAATTCCTTATAATAATTATCTTTTAAAATATATGTACTTCTCTTTCTTTTTTCTTTTTTTCTTTTTTTTTTTTTTGCTGAGATAGAGTTTCGCTCTTGTTACCCAGGCTGGAGTGCAATGGCACAATCTCAGCTCACTGCAACCTCCGCCTCCTGGGTTCAAGCAATTCTCCTGCCTCAGCCTCCTGAGTAGCTGGGACTACAGGCATGCGCTACCATGCCCAGCTAACTAACTTTTGTATTTTTAGTAGAGATGGGGGTTTCACCATGTTGACCAGGGTGGTCTCGATCTCTTGACCTCGTGATCCACCCGCCTCGGCCTCCCAAAGTGCTGGGATTATAGGCGTGAGTCACTGCGCCCGGCCTCTCTCTCTTTTCTCCCTCTCTCTCTACCTCTCTACTTCTCTACCTCTGCCTCTCTCCTGTTGATTCTTTTTTCTTGGAGCCCTGACTAATGTATAAACCTTGTCTTTTATTGCCTTACTTTGGTCTCATCTTAGATTTTCCAGAGTGCTTCTAATCCTCTGAGAACTTCTCCATTACTGGCTTGGTTCTCTGCATTGATGCAGTCCGTCATGAAATGGCTGTCTTCATGACAGACCAAGCAAAAGGAGAGGTGCTTGGGTTTTTATAAACTTGGCAGCTGTTTTGGAAACATTTTACTCTGAGGCTAGGCGCCACTGTTTGTATTCTTGTTTTGCAGTTGTGTTTCTTTCTCCTAAGTTCTCTCTCCATATATTCTCTTGGCCTGGAAGGCATGTGTGCCTGTTTGACAGTGTCCTAGAAATTCTTCTCTAGATGGGGAGTGCATGTTGAAGGTGCTCACACATGGTTTCCTAAAATCCTGCAAAGTGGCAGTCAGGACCTTTAAACTATTGCGATAATTTCCAAACTATGAAGTTATCATGTGTAGTTTTTCAGAGAACTGCCATAAAGAAAGGTTTGAGATTTAGAATTGTTGACATAAGCTTTTCCTTTCTTTTTTTTTTGAAACAGAGTCTCACTGTGTTGCCCAGGAGTGTAGTGGGGCACGATCTTGGCTCACTGTAACCTCTACCTCCTGAGTTCAAAACCAGCTTAAAATTTTTTATTTATTTATTTATTTTTGAGACAGGGTGTCACCCCAGTCGTCCAGGCTGCAGTGCAGTGGTGCGATCTTGGCTCACTGGAGCCTTGACTTGCTGGGATGGAGTGATCCTCCTACCCTAGCCTCCCAAGTATCTGGGACCACAGGCATGTACCACCACTCCCAGATACTTTTTTGTATTTTTAGTAGAGACAGGGTTTCACCATGTTGCCTAGGCTGGTCTGGAACTCCTGGGCTCAAGCAATCCTCCTGCCTTGGCCTCCCAAAGTGCTGGGATTATAGGTGTGAGCCACTGCACAGTGCACAACCAGTTTTGAATCATTAAAATATAAGTTAAGAAGAGGAAAATGTTTTAAATAATTTATAAGATAATTCTAGAATCTGTGTGGAGAGATTACTCAGTCTAACTGAAAGCACAGTAGGAGAAATTTTAGTGTAATCACATTCCTGAAAATGAAGTCCTTAAACATTTCTCATTTCTTTTCAAATGTAGTTCACTCACATATTTACCAATGACCTACATGTATTTAGTGTTTCTTAAGAATTGTATCCCAATTGCATGCCCCATGTACATACTATTGTATATAAATGCCCTTTTGACAAAATACAAATAACATTTAATAGAGGTGTTAGTGAATTTGTGATACTTGTCATTGATTTTTCTCAATAACCAGATGATAAAATCACAACAGTTGTCGTATGGATGTTTATAGGATTTTTGCTGTTTTTTTTTTTTTTTTTGAGACTGAGTCTCGCTCTGTTACCCAGGCTGGAGTGCGGTGACATGATCTTGGCTCACTGCAACATCTGCCTCCCAGGTTCGAGCAATTCTCACGCCTCAGCCTCCCAAGTGGCTGGGACTACAGGAGGGTGCCACCACGCCTGGCTGATTTTTGTATTCTTTTAGTAGAGATGGGGTTTCACCATGTTGGCCAGGCTGGTCTCAAACTCCTGACCTCAAGTGATCTATCTGCCTTGGTCTCTCAAAGTGTTGGGATTACAGGTGTGGGCCACCATGATCCTGCTTGGATTTTTATTCTTGAAAAGAGGTTCTTATGCTTATGTGCCACTCCACTCCAGCCTGACAACAGAGTGAGACTCCGGCTCAAAAAAAAAAAAAAAAACTCTGGAGCCAGTTCTATCCATTTCCAAAGCGGAAAAGGACTTTGGCTTAAGGGTGGAGTCTTTGCATAAGGATGTGTTCAAAGAGAACATAGTACAGTATTCTGGTGATATCCCCAGAGCGTTGGCAGGTTTCTATTAATTCCTTTTCTTTATCTTTTTTTTAAAAAAAATTCCTGTGTGCCTCAGAGGTTTGATTCATCTTTTTTCTAGAATCTTGTATGTCATCTATTGTTCTCTCTGTCCATAAACCCTCTATTGAAACAGGATGCAGGTGCCTTAGCTTTTTCTTTACCTTGTTAACTGAAAATATTTGACACTCTTTCACTTTTAAGGATTTTTACTGTTATTAACAACAGAGAATGAAATTAATGAATAAAAATTTGCACAATATAAAATTTTATTCAAAATGAGAATTTCCTTTTTTTTATTTTGAGATGGAGTTTTGCTGTTATTACCCAGACTGGAGTGCAATGGCACGATCTCGGCTCACCGCAACCTCCGCCTCCTGGGTTCAAGCAATTCTCCTGCCTCAGCCTCCTGAGTAGCTGGGACTACGGGCGCGCACCACCATGCCCAGCTAATTTTTGTATTTTTAGTAGAGACGGGGTTTCACTTTGTTGACCAGGATGGTCTCGATCTCTTGACTTCGTGATCCACACGCCTTGGCCTCCCAAAGTGCTGGGATTACAGGGCGTGAGCCATCGCGCCCAGCTGAGAATTTCTTATTCTTCATTGAAATGTAAATGAAAAAACTTAGTTTTCTAGTAGTTTGCTAGAATAATGGCAGTAGACTAAGTGATGTCAAGAGTTTCTTCCAACTCTGTGTTTAATTGTTAGTGGTGGATTACTCAGTTTTTCTTATTTTATCACTTTTTTTCTGGGAAGTGCCTAAGTGCCCTTTCTCCTATATCTTTTTTTTTTTTTTTTTGAGATGAAGTCTCACTCTGTCACCCAGGCCGGAGTGCAGTAGCATGATCTTGGCTCACTGCAGCCTCCACCTCCTGGTTCAAGCAATCCTCCTGCCTTAGCTTCCTGAGTAGCTGGAACTACAGGCATATGCCACCATGCTGGGCTAATTTTTTATTTTTATTTATTTATTTATTTGAGACAGAGTCTCACTCTGTTGTCCAGGCTGGAGTGCAGTGGCGCAATCTCAGTTTACTGCAACCTCTGCCTCCTGGGTTCAAGTGATTCTTCTGCCTCAGCCTCCCAAGTAGCTGGGATTATAGGTGCCTGCCACCACGTCTGGCTAATTTTTGTATTTTTAGTAGAGATGGGGTTTCTCCGTGTTGGCCAGGCTGGTCTTGACCTCCTGACCTCAGGTGATTCACCAGCTTTGGCCTCCCAAAGTGTTGGGATTACAAGCACGAGCCACTGCACTCAGCTGTTCCTCCTAATTTTCTTTATTGTTTGACTCTGAAGATAATTATTTGGAGGCCACTGAATTCATTTCTTCACAGGGGAGGAGAAACTCCAGGTTATTGTCTTTAATCTCTTTGTTCCTTGCTTTTTACAGGAAAACTCTACTTAATAAAAACCAATAAACACTATTAGCAAAAAGTCAACTTAGGTATATTTTGACATACAGCCATTTTATTGGTGTGACATTGTTTATCCCAAATATGTCTACAATAATATCTTTAATTTCACATGTTCTACCTACAAGGTCATCTTCACAGTCCCCCTATCTAGTGGTGAGGTCTGTGTCTCAATCTCTTAACCAGAGCAGACTTTTGTAAATTCTTCTACCGGTAGAGCATGGTTCAAACATGTCACATTTAGGGCTAGTTTGTAAAAATGTCATGCATTTCTAACTTTCTCTCTTGAGAATCACTTTTGGAACTAGGTACTATGCGAGGAGCCCAAGCAACTAGGAGTGGCCTACGTAAGAGGGAAGCTGAAGCTCCTGACTCTCAGCCCTAGCTGAGCTCCCAGCTGACATCCAGGATCAGCTTCCTAGCCATGTGAGTGAGCTGTCCTAAAAGCAGATCCTAATCCTTCAGATCCCTGTCACAGTGCCCTTATGGGTGCTCATGTAGTGTTTATATGTAGACAGAGATGAGTTGTTCCTAACAAACTCTACCCACATTGCAGATTCATGAGCACAATGAAAGATTGTTTTAAGTCACTAAGTTATATAGCAGTGGATATCTGGATTGGTATTCCATTTTTGCCAGAGTTTAGAGCAGAGATCATACTATATGTTGAACTGCTTCAACTGTAAGAACAAGATATATTTTTACCTTTAGGAGCACTGTTAGTTTTACAAGCGAAGAAAAATGGATTATATGTTCTCTTCCTTTATAGATTGTTATCTCACTTTCAGTTTACATATTTATTAATTTTTTTTTTTTTTACTACAGAGCGTTACAAAACAAAAAATCAAATATTGGACAATAATATTGCTGCCTAGATAACTTCATTCTCATGTACTTCTAGTTTAGAAGGTTGTGTGCATGTTAATAAGCAGTGACTTTGGGTGATTCAGACCCATGTGTGACTGTGGAAGGCAGCATCCTCTTTATAAAACACTTCCTTTTTTTTTTTTTTGAGATGGAGTTTCACTCTTGTTGCCCAGGCTAGAGTGCAATGGTGCAGTTTCAGCTCACTGCAGCCTCCACCTCCCAGGTTCAAGTGATTCTCCTGCCTCAGCCTCACAAGTATAATCCCTGGGATTATACGGATGCACCACCATGCCGGGCTAATTTTATATTTTTAGAAGAGAAAGGGTTTCGCCATGTTGACCAGGATGGTTTTGAACCATTGACCTCAGGTGATCCACCTTCCCTGGCCTCCCAAAGTGCTGGGATTATAGGCATGAGCCACCACACCTGGCTGTAAATCAATTTCTTTATCTATAAAATGGTATCTACTTCATAGGTTTGCTTTGAGACTTCAGTGATACTGCCACAAAATATTGGCTGTTCATTACTACTGCTTTTTTTTTCCCCAATAGAGATGGGGTCTTGGTGTTGTCATGTTGCCCAGACTAGTCTTTAATTTGTGGGCTTAATGCAATTCTCATGCCTTGGTCTTTCAAAGTGCTGGGATTACAATTGTGTGCCACCATGCCCAGCCTGGACTTCTTGATAGTAAGTGATACTGACAGTTTAGGCAGTGATACAGTAGCAAAGACATGGAACCAACCTAAATGCCCATCAGTGATAGACTGGATAAAGAAAATGTACATATACACCATGGAATACTATGCATTCATAAAAAGGAATGAGAGTACATCCTTTGCAGGGACATAGATGAAGCTGGAAGCCATCATCCTTAGCAAACTAACAAAGGAACAGAAAACTGAACACTACATGTTCTCACTCATAAATGGGAGCTGAACAATGAGAACACATGGACACAGGAAGGAGCAACACGCTTGAGGCCATTTGGGGGTGGGGGTGGCGAGGGGAGGGCGAGCATCAAGTCACAAATAGCGAATGCATACGGGGCTTAAAACCTAGGTGACGGGTTGAGAGGTGTAGCAGATCACCATGGAACATATAAACCTGTATAACAGACCTGCACATTCTACACATGTGTTCCACTACTGAAAGTAAAATTAAAAAAAGATTAGGCAATGACGTCTCAAATATATTACCTGTTGTCACTATGTTTTATTTATTTATTTATTTTTCAAGACTGGCTCTCTGTCTCCCAGGCTGGAATGCAGTGGCAGGATCATAGCTTACTATATTCCTGAACTCTTGGGGTCAAGAGATCTCTTCTCTCTGCCTTCCAAGTAGCTGGGACTACAGGTGCATGCCACCATGCCTGGCTAATATTTTTATTTTTTTAGAGTTGGGGACTTGCTATGTTTCTAAGGCTGGTCTTGAACTCTTGGCCTCAAATGATCCTCCTGTGTTGGCCTCCCAAAGTGTTGGAATTACTGATGTGAGCCACTGTGCTTGGCTCCACTATGTTTATTTTTTAACAAGCCCTTTAAATGTATTAATTAATATTTTACATATAATGAAATGTATAGATTTTAAGTGTTAAGTTCACTATGTTTTTTAAATCAACTTTTAATTGTTTAGTATTTAGTTGATTACAGGTAGCAGGCACTACCTGCTAAACAAAATGGAAAGAAGGGCCCAAGAGAGGATAATTTTTTCCCAGAGTGCTAGTGCTTATTAGCGGATAAGGTTTATATTTATTACCTCACTAGAAGACAGGGGGAATTATTCACATTTAGAAAGAGAAACTGAGACTTAGGAAATTAAAGTGATTTACCCAAAGTAACACAGCTAGGTTGTGCTCTGTAAAATTTTTGCTATGACTGACTAGTGACATTAACATTATTAAGAGAAACAAAGCTTGGTAGAGATAATTTCCTGTGAGGGTTTATTAAAGTCTCATAAACGAAATGAAAGCCCATGATAAGGAGGTCTTCTGGTTTCAAATGCTTCAAAGTTTCTCAAGCTGCTGCTGCTGCTTTTTTTTTTTTTCCTCTTTTTTGAGATGGAGTTTTGATCTGTCACCCAGGCTGGAGTGTAGTGATGTGATCTCAGCTCACTGTAGCCTTCGTCTCCCAGGCTCAAGTGATTCTCCTGTTTCAGCTGCCCAAGTAGCTGGGACCACAGGTGTGCACTATCATGTCCAGCTAATTTCTGTATTTTTAGCAGTGGCAGGATTTCACCATGTTGGCCAGGCTGGTCTCAAACACCTGACCTCAGGTGATTCACCCACTTCAACCAAAGTGCTAGGGTTACAGGCATGAGCAACCACACCGGCCAAAGTTCCTCAGGTTTCTAAAACTGAGATAGTGTAATTTTAGCAGGCATTCCTCTATAATGGTTCAGGTAATCAGGTAAAAGGAATTGTTTTGGGTAATCTAGGTACATTTTTACTTTTCAGTACGAAAGAATATAAAGACTAGTAAGAATGAAAATAATTTTATTTCTAGGTAGTTCATGCTATTGCATGTCTCTTAGATATAATAATTAGAGGCTGAAATGTAAGTGATATTACTTTATTGGATAATCGACAAGCCACATACTTCAGAGGAAATGATGGATAAGTAGTTATTGAAGTGTTAGTGAAAAAAACCTCTTCAGGTGTGTAGGAATGTATTCTTTGATTGAATCAGCATAGAATTCCTGCAAGCCTCAGATTTTTCTTTATTCTCTCATGTTTCAGATTCCTTTATCCTTTGCAGCTGTCAGATACATTGGTGTGTTTGAAAATTGACACCAGGTAAAGAATAAATATGATAAGTGAAAGGGTAAATGAGAGTTCAAACATTCTTTTCTTTTCTTTTTTTTTTTGTGACAGAGTTTCGCTCTTGTTGCCCAGGCTGGAGTGCAATGGTGTGATCTTGGCTTACCACAACCTCCACCTCCCGAGCTCAAGCGATTCTCCTACCTCAGCCTCTTGAATAGCTGGGATTACAGCCACGGACCATCAGGTCTAGCCAATTTTGTATTTTTAGTAGAGACAAGGTTTCTTCATGTTGGTCAGGCTGGTCTCAAACCCCTGACCTTGGCCTCCCAAAGTGCTGGGATTAGAGGTGTGAGCCACTGTACCCAGCCTTTTTTTTTTTTGAGATGGAGTCTTGCTCTGTCACCAGGCTGGAGTGCAGTGGCATGATCTTGGCTCACTGCAGCCTCTGTCTCCTGAATTCAAGCTATTCCCCTGTCTCAGCCTCCTGAGTTTGGGACTACAGTTGCGCACCACCACACCTGGCTAATTTTTTGCATTTTAATAGAGATGGGGTTTCACCATGGCCAGGATGGTCTCGATGTCCTGACCTCATGATCCACCTGTCTTGGCCTCCCAAAGTGCTGGGATTATAGGTGTGAGCCACTGTGCCTGGCCGCCTTTTTAATTTTTAATTAAAAAAAAGTTTTTTTTTTTTTTGAGACGGAGTTTCGCTCTTGTTACCCAGGCTGGAGTGCAATGGCGTGATCTCGGCTGACCGCAACCTCCGCCTCCTGGGTTCAGGCAATTCTCCTGCCTCAGCCTCCTGAGTAGCTGGGATTACAGGCACATGCCACCATGCCCAGCTAATTTTTTGTATTTTTTTTAGTAGAGATAGGTTTTCACTATGTTGACCAGGATGGTCTCGATCTCTTGACCTTGTGATCCCCCTGCCTCAGCCTCCCAATGTGCTGGGATTACCGGCATGAAAAAAATTTTTTTTTTGAGACAGAGTCTTGCTCTGTTGCCTAGGCTGTAATGCAGTGGCGTGAACCTGGGTCACTGTAACCTCTGCTTCCTGGGTTCTAGCAATTCTCCTGTCTCAGCCTCCTGAGTAGCTGGGATTACAGACACTGCCACCATGCCCAGCTAATTTTTGTATTTATAGTAGAGATGGGGTTTTGCTATGTTGGCCAGGCTGGTCTCAATCTCCTGACCTCAGGGGATCCACCTGCCACACCTTCCTAAAGTGCTGGGATTACTGGTGTGAGCCACCATGCCAGGCCAGACATTCTTTATTTTGCATAAATTATTGTTAAAATTTTTATTTTATGGAAAATACTAGCTCAGATAATGGGATAATTAGGATAGATTTTCAAGAGAAAACAGTGATTTGTTCAACCGGTATTTTTAAAGCATTTAATAGGTCAGGTACTTTTTTTTTTTAACCTTCTAAGGGCTTTTGATGGAGAGTCTGCTTGACATTCTTTTTTTTTTTTTTTTTTTTTGAGATGGAATCTACTCCGTAGCCAGGCTGGAATGCAGTGGTACATCTCAGCTCACCGCAACCTTTGACCCCTGGGTTCAAACAGTTCTGCTGCCTCAGCCTCCTGAGTAGCTAGGACTACAGGCATGAGTTACCATGCCCAGCTAATTTTTGTATTATTAGTAGAGATGGGATTTTACCATGTTGGCTAGCATGGTCTCGATCTCTTGACCTCAGGTAATCCACCCGCCTTAGCCTCCCAAAGTGCTGGGATTACAGGTGTGAGCCACCGTGCCTGGCCTGACAGTCTTAAAGTTACTGAAAGCAGAAAATGGTTTTCTCTGAATACGTTATTGGTGGTTTTTGTCTCTTTGATTTTTTCGCCAGTTCTTATAAACTGGTAAAAATCTATAGAGTTTTTATTTGTAATAAAATTTTACTTGTAATAAAAAGTTTAAATGTTTTAAAATAAATACAGTGACTATTTCATATTACAGTATGTCCTGTACTCCTGGTATCCCTTTCTCTGTTCTACTTCTTTCTGAAATGAAGTCTTACTCTGTCACCATGCTGGAGTACAGTGGTGTGATCTTGGTTCACTGCATCCTCCACCACCCGGGTTCAAGTGATTTTCCTGCCTCAACCTCCCAAGTAGCTGGGACTACAGGTGTGCCCCACCATGCCTGGCTAATTTTTATTTTTACTTTTTGCATTTTTAGTAGAGAGGGGATTTCACCACGTTGGCCAAGATGGTCTCGATCTCCTGACCTCGTGATCCACCTGCCTTGGCCTCCCACAGTGCTGGGATTACAGGCATGAGCCACTGCACTCAGCCTCTACTTCTTATTTTTTTAAATAAATAAGAGTGTGTGTATATATTATTTCCTCATGTTTAACCATTCTGGATTTTGCTTTCTGTCATTTTCCTTCTGCTAAAATATAAGCTGTGTGGGAACAAGGATTTTTTTTTTTTAATTGATAAAGCACAGAAAATATGTGGAACTTAGTAGGTGTTCAACAAATTCTTTGTTAAACAAATAATACTTTTAATATTTTAAAGTTAATTCTAGGCCAGGTGCAGTGGCTCACGCCTGTAATCCCAGCACTTTGGGAGGCCAAGGCGGACGGATCACCTGAGGTCAGGAGTTTGAGACCAGCCTGACCAACATGGCAAAACCCCATCTCTACTAAAAATACAAAAATTAACCATATGTGGTGGTGCATGCCTGTAAGTCTGGCTACTCATGAGACTGAGGCAGGAGGATCTCTTGAACCTGGGAGGTGGAAGTTGCAGTGAGCCAAGATTGTGCCATTGCACTCCAGCCTGGGCAACAAAGCAAGACTCTATCTCAAAAAGAAAAGAAAAAGTTAATTCTAGGCCAGGCTCGGTCGCTCATGCCTGTAATCCCAGCACTTTGGGAAGCTAAGTCAGATGGATCATGAGGTCAGAGATCGAGACCATCCTGGCCAACATGGTGAAACCCTGTCTCTACCGAAAAAATACAAAATTAGCCAGGCATGGTAGCGCATGCTTGTAATCCCAGTTACTCAGGAGGCTGAGGCAGGAGAGTTGCTTAAACTCGTGAGGTGGAGGTTGCAGTGAGTCGAGATACTGCTATTGCACTCCAGCCTGGGCAACTAGAGGGAAACGCCATCTCAAAAAAAAAAAAAAAAAAAAAGGAGAATTACAAGTAAATGTCTTTGTTCCCACTGGCCAGCTTAAAAAAATAGTATGGTATCAATACTTTGAAAGTTCCTCATATTCCTCTTTTCTGTGGCATTTGCCTCCTTCCCTCCAGTATTGGAAGAATGAATTGTTTTTATTCATTTGCGTTTTTTCATGATTTTACAACATGGATATAATTAAATATAGTATTTAAATGACTGGATATGACTATAACTGTAAATCGATTTTTCAGTTTTAGATTTGTTAAATTTTATATACATGAAATGACACTGTATGTATTCAGTTTGCTTTATTCATTCAACATTAGGAGTTTGAGATTCATTTGTATTGATGCAAATTGATATACTCCATTTATTTACACTGTTATATGGTGTTCAGTTACATCTGTATGTCACTATTTTATCTGTGGGCAGTTGGTTTGTTTCTAAATTACAAACAATGCAACTACAAACATTTAAAAAGTATATTCTGGCCTACATGTGCTTCAAGAGTTTCTTTAGGCTGGGTACAGAAGCTCAGGCCTGTAATCCCAGCACTTTGGGAACCTGAGGTGGGTGGATCACCTGAGGTTAGGAGTTCGAGACCAGCCTGGCCAACATGGCGAAACCCCATCTCTATTAAACATACAAAAATTAGCTGGGTGTGGTGGCGCATGCCTGTAATCCCAGCTACTTAGGGGACTAAGGCAGGAGAATCTCTTGAACCTGAGAGGTTGAGGTTGCAGTGAGCTGAGATTGCACCACTGCACTCCAGCCTGGGCAACAGAGCAAAACTCCATCTCAAAAAAAAAAAAAAAAAAGCTGGGTGTGGTGACATATACCTGTAGCACCAGCTACTTAGGAGGGCCAAGGTGAGAGGATTGTTTAAACCAAGGAGTTCAAGGTTGCTTTGAGCTGTGATTATGCCATTGTGCTACAGCCTAGGCAACAGAGCAAGACCCTGTCTCTGGGAAAAAAAACAAGGACATCCTTCATCCTTTATATATCTAAAGAAATTACGAGTCATATAAAATGGGCATTTGTCAACTAAATATGGACAGTTGTTTTCTTAAATGGTTATACCAGTTTACACTCCCATCAGCTACTTCAGTGAAAATTGCAGTTTCCTTCCTTACCAGCCCTTGGTATTTTAAATATTTAGCTATTATAGTAGACGTATAATATGTTTTGTTTTTAAGGAAAATTTATTTTATTCTTCAGTAACTAATTACTAGTGGAGTGTATGTTAGGTATTTATTGTACAACTTCTCAAACCTTAGAATCATTGTACACCATCAGCTCATTCCCTGTACCAGGGGATTTTCACATAGCATTTGTTTTTTATGTCAGCGACTATTAAAAATCAGCTTCACAAAGATAGGACATTATTGAAAGGAATGTTGAGTGACCTTATGTTAAAGTTGAACTACCTAGAACTTGTAGTTTGCATAGTATCTGACAGATGTCACTGTATTTCTCTTGAAAATTTAAAGTATTTTGCAGCATCCTTGTGAATTTACTGTGGTACCCCAAGGCACCTGAGCACACAGTTTGGGAACCATTGCCTTAGCATATTAATCATGGTTACCTCCAGAGAGTGAAATTTTGGATAATTTAAAAAAAATTTTTTTTTTTTTTTTTTTTGAGACAGAGTTTCGCTTGTTATGCAGATTGCAGTGCAATGGCGCGATCTCGGCTCACCACAACCTCCGCCTCCTGGGCTCAAGCAATTCTCCTGCCTCAGCCTCCCGAGTAGCTGGGACTACAGGCGCGCACCACCATGCCCAGCTAATTTTTGTAATTTTAGTAGAGACGGGGTTTCACCTTGTTGACCAGGATGGTCTCGATCTCTTGACCTCGTGATCCACCCGCTTCGGCCTCCCAAAGTAAAAAAGTTTTTACTTTC